AGTTATAAGTGGCGATCGACAGTTATAAGTGGCGATCGACAGTTATAAGTGTCGATCGACAGTTATAAGTAGCGATCGACAGTTATCGTTTTCGACAGTTGTAAGTGTCGATGGTCAGTTAATAAGTGTCGATCGACAGTTATTAAGTGTCGTAAGAAAAAATAAAGAGATGCTTTCGATGACCCTTCTAAGCCACCGTATTCTAAGCCACCGTAACAGTCTGCAGTCTGCATGGTCTGCGTTTTGGGGTGACCGCTTTCCTACGGAAGCCCTAGTAATAACGTTTGCCTGGCGAATCCGTCCGGTCCGTATACATGACGTATTTGCTCCTAGCTAAACTTACCTCTGACTAGTACTGGGAAATCCAAAATGGCGATATTAGGTTGCATATCTCTTATCGCAGCAAGCAACGTAATCCTGTTGATAACGGGAGCGTTGTCGTTGCCTTTGTACTTTTCATTTTATGGTTCTGAAGCAGCAGTAAGATTTTCGTTGCTTCTTTGTATGCATTCTTGCCTACTTGCGGCAGTTCCAAGCGTTTTGGTAAGTGGTGAACAGTCCTCCGTTTGATTCCTTGTCGATAGACTCTTCTACAAAATTTAAGGGCACCATCTCTGACCACTTTTATTTGTTGTAATTTTATTCCATTTTAGCTGAGCTTTTCATAGTTATTTTTGTATTTAGATTTTGTTCATTTATTTAATCTTGCACTCATTTTGCAAGATGTAAATGAAAGGGCAACCCTAAAACGAGGAACCCGGAATTCAGAATCCGAAACCGGAAACCGGAATCCGGAAACCGGAAACCGGAGACTGGAATCTAGAGTCCACAAATCAAAGAAAACAAGTTCTTCAAATACGCGAAAATTATTTTGCATAGCGTTTGCCTGTAAAAAATAAGAGGCCAAGTAAAAAGGACCTCGAACTTAACCTTTTTTGAAACAAAAATTTCCTGTCTGTTGAAATTCATGCAATTATTATTTCTAGCGAGGACTATGATTATGAGAATCTAAATAAAGTGCATCATAATTTGATTCTAAGCAGCCTGAGAGCGTCTGAAATAAGCTTGCTGGTAATTGCCATTTTGTTTAATAAGTGATCTGCAATTTACCGGAGGTATAAATTTGGCCTTTATGTCTAGTAGATATTAAACAAGGCAGAAAATGTCATAGAGAACAGGGTGTCCGTCAGTGGCAGCCCCCTGTACATCGATGGTCATGCCCCCCCACTTTCGATGTCCAAAGGCTAACGTGGCTTGTCTAAATAAATTTGTTTTTTCCAACGGAGACTAATTCCAGATCAACATTATTCCATACAGATACTGTTACAAATCACCACTACATATTCTTGCCAGCCATCATATTAAAACAATTTATAGAAATGTGGCACACTTACTTCTCGCTTGCGAATGGATCAGATCACATGTTGTTAAAAGATGCTACAAGACAGCCAGAAACTCACCGTGATAGCTTGTTACTTTGCTATTGTGCTACTCACCAGTCTTCTCAGAGCAATTTGATCTAGACAAGAACCGCACTCTCACCAGGGCCAGGTTGAACAAAAAATGGGTAACTTAGCCTGCGAGCAGGTTCTCATGTTTGAGCCAGGGGTGCAAGTGCCAAAGCCGCAAGAAGAAACTCGCTTACATGCCAACACAAAAAGACACTAGACGCTAGAGCCTGCTCAGACACTAGAGACAGCTACTAGAGCCTGGTAGCAGGTTATGGGTAACTCTGTCCACCCAAAAAATCACTAACCCTGACTGGATAGTGATTTACCCAATGGATAGCTTTATCCAGCTTTAGAACAACCGGGCCAGATGTATAGCTAAAGGTTGTTCAGAACATGTCAATAAGTTTCTAACAAATACAGTTTGTGGTTGAAGTAAAGCAAAGAAAATAAATAACAACAAAATAATTTTTCCCAATATTTATTTATTAGACATTGCTGAAGTGAATTATTTCTACCGTCATTCATAATATCTGGAATCCGGATTCCAGATTCCGGATTCCGGATTCTGGATTCCATATTCTGGTTTCCAGTTCCAGATTCCAGATTAGAGTTTCCGGTTTCCAGATTCTGGATTCTGTGTTTTAGGGTTGCCCTTAATGAACTTTTAACAGCATGTTTGAAATGAATGCTTGCTTAAGCTTACTTGGGGGCAGTTCACATATCGAAATGACCTCCTTCCAAGAAGCACCCCCCTTTGTAGTAAGCACTCTCCATTGAGTGCCGTTTTTTAGTGAGAAAGGAGAACCTGGACCCCTAGTCTATCAACCCCCTTCATGGCCCTGGTCCATAAGTCTTATCATGTTTACCGGTAAGGAGAATTTAACAGTAACAAATAGTCCTTAGGAATGTTGTTTTATTGAATAACAATGTAGAAATTGTGATACAATAATTATTTGTGATGTAATATGTTCATTGTTGATAGTATCAACCAAAACATAATTTGCATTCTGCTCTCTATCAAAAAAAGGAACAAAATTTGAGATGACAGACAACCTCATAAACCTGGTTAGGTTTCATGCTTTCAGACGAAAAGATACAAAAGTAATCTTGTGAAGGTGAATTAATCAACATGACACGAGCGTGGGACAAAGAAAAATTCTGAGTCCCCGACAGGAATTGAACCCATGACCTCCCGAACACCG